TGGTGGTGGGTGGAGGGTGGAGGGTAGAAAGTGGTGAAGGGTGGTGGATGGTGGTGGATAGGTGGATGGATGGGTAGGTTGATGGCGGATGGATGGTGGATTAATGGATAGAAGGGTAGATGAATGGATGATGGACAGACAGAAAGGGGGATGGTGGATGGATGGACAGATGGGTGGGGGAATGGTGGATGGATAAATGGGTGGACAGATGAGTGGATGGTGGATGGATGGATGATGGATGGGTAATAAGTGATCAATAAAGATGCACACACGTGCAGAGATGCACAGAGACGAGAGCAGGGAGGGGGCCACACAGACGAAGCAGCAGCAGAGAGAGGCCCAGGGAAGTACAGGAGCTGGCCACAGGCCTTGCCAAGCTGGGGACCTGCTTCCTGCCCAGGACAGTGGCTGCTCCTGCGTGGACAGTGGGGTCAGTTCCCCTGAGGTCATCCTGCAAGACGGACTGAGTGGAGGAGTATGAGAGCAGCCCCAACTCCCTCCCATGTCCGGATCTAGGGGGACTTGGGGCGGCACGGAGCCCCCCACATGTAGGCACTAGAAAGTTCTCAGGCAGGACAGGGGCCTTGCAGAGGCCTGTGGTGGCAGGGGATAGTGGCTGATTGTCCATCTGTCCCTCAGCATCTCTACAGCTGCTTCCAGGTGAGTCCAGGGGAAGAAGGAGCAGCAGGACAACATCATGGGGCAGTGCCACTGGCCATGGCCCCTTGCCTCTAAGATGCCGGACAGACAGCTAGTTAGACGGACAGACCAGCCGACCTAAAGCAGGCCCGGGACGTCCGTGTCCTGGCACTTACCCCTGGCTGGATCCTCACTGCAGAGCAGATGGAATGGAACCAGAGAGGCTCCACAGCGGGCACGGGGCTGGCAGATGCGTTCCTCACACCTCCTCAACCAGGCTCACCCTCCAGAGCACCTTCAGCACCCGCCGCTTCTTGAAGGGGCATACGCCGGGGGCCTTACGTCCACCCCAGGCTCCAGAAGCTTCCTGGTTTCTCACTCTTCGCCATCCAGGGGTCCCAGCAGCATCTTGGTGGCATTCGAACAGTCCCCCTCCTGCTTTGGCCCTGCGACCCATTTCCCAGATGGGAGCCCTGAGGCCCTGGCACGGGAAGGCCCCCAGCAAAGACCCCCCTACTGGGACTCTGGAGAAGGAACCCAGGGAGTCTAGGCTGTCCCTGGAGGTGACCCTGGGTTCCGGCAGAGGGGACAGGCAGTGAAAGGGGCGGGCAGAGAGCAGGAGAAAGCACAGGGCAGGTGGGCCATGAAATCAAGTCAAGGACCAAGGCAGCACCCCCGCCCCCACCCGTAGTGTCCCCAAGGATCTGAGCTACAGCTGCACCAACCAGAGGGCTACCCCAACCACTTCGGTTCTCTCTAATCCTGCGTGACCCCCGGCCCCTCCTCTGGGCAGAGTCTGCTGGCCGCAGGTGGGACCCCGCAGAGCCAGGCTGGCCTCTCTGGGCGCCTGTGCCCCGGCCGGTTGAAAAGGAGGCGCTGTGCCTTTAAGCGCGGCTGCTCAGGGCCTGGCGGCGGAGAAAAGGCTGCGGTGGCTCGGGGGAAGGAGTTTAATCTAATTTGGTTGGAGGGTGTCTGTCTGCGGTGTTGTTTTTTGGAGTGTGGGAAGAGAGGCGAGGCGCTGGCCGGGAGCAGTGGGGAGCCGGCCGCTGCCGGCAGAGCCCGGCCTTGAAAGGAGGGGGATTAGGGCCCGTGCTGATTTGCAATTCACACTCCTGCACCCCGCCGCACAGTTGGTGATATTTCAGACCCTCAAAAGAGCTGCCTAAATTGTCTCCGGCCGCCGGCCAGCCAGTTCACCAGGCCGGCTCCTTTGTGCGGCTCTGGGCCGACCAGCATCTCCCAGCCCTGGACGGAGGTGTAATTAAAACTTTTGTGCCTGTTCAAATCTGTGGCAACTTGCCTTGGTTTTCTGGGGGGCACAGAATAGCGTTTCTGTCCAGAAGGATGAAGGTAGTTTCCTCAGAGAAAGATGTGGGGTTGGGGGCACAGAGGTTGCCCCCTGGCTTAGAAAATAGAACGTTCCACGCCTCTGTCTCAGAAGCTCCGTACTTGGTCTCTGCAGAGAAGCACGCACGGCAGACAACAGCAAAACTGACATGGGCTGGAGGCCTGGACAGGCCGTGGGGTACACAGTTCCCCGACCCCTCTCTCCTCTCCACCTGCCTGCGGGGACCCCCGGGTCACTCCCGCAGCCCAGGGGAGCCAGCCAAGGCTCTGGGGATCATTTCTCCACCTCGAAAGCGTCAGTACTTTTTACTTAAAGAGATTATGTGGGGTTTCCCTCTAATCTCATTTCAGAACCCCTGGCTCTCTCTGCCTGGGGTTTCCACGGGCTGTAACTTAACAAGAAAAGAGACGACTTGGCTTGTCAGCAATGTCCCAGTCAAAGGGTTTTCTTCTATTTTTGACTTTATACAATTACCTTAAACTCTCCTCTCTCTCTCTCTCTCTCTCTCTCTCTTTCTCTCCAAAAATATTTACTTCTGCTTCAAAATGTTGCCTGACTCCTACAATCTTTCTTTTAAAAAATTCTTACATTTCTCTTGGGTGAACATTTGGAAAGGCTTGAAGGTAGCTATTTAAAAGTAACTCTCCGATATTTAGTTATTTATTTTTGAGATGGGGTGAAAAATATCCTTTGTCCCCGCATGTTATTTGAAATCGTGTTTAATTATAAAGTTTCATTAAAAACCTTTGCTCAGAATTTTTGGGGGCCTAATAAGATTTCCATTAATTTAAGCATATTACTATTCCCAGGACAGCTCCAAGTGCTTTCTTCCCCCCTTTCATCCATGGTTAAATATGTAAATAAAATGTCTAAAGTCATTCTTCAAAGAAGACAAAAGAAAAAAGCGCTGAGCAGGAGACAGCCATAAAATTCCTCCCAATTCCCCAGAATGTTTGGGGGGGGGGGCCGCCAGGCAGGGCTCAGCAACGGGGACTGTCCTGCGAAGCACACAGCTCAGATCCCACACACAGGAGGAAAAGAAAAGAAAATATCTTTTCAGCTGGAGCCATCAAACAGCCCTTTTCATTTCTTACTTACAGAGTTATCTTCCGCTGCTGATTTCTCAGAGCCCTCAGTTGTTGGCTTTTTTCCCCCCTATAATATTGTCTATTTGTTGGTTTCCAACTCAGCTGGGCAGAGCAAGCACTTATGCAGATATTTTTATTTAAAAAAAAAGGGGCGAAGAAAGCAATCTGAAGTGGCTATAGCTGAAATAATGGGTCTGAAGATGGCTGAATTAAAACAGCACGTAAAGGGTCAGCACTCTGGCCAGTAGCCTGTACTCAGGGAAGGGTTTGGCTCACTCACCTCCACATGTATATTTCCAGAATTTCTGAAAAGGAGAAATAAAAAGAAAAAAAAAAGGGATGAAGTAAAATGGTGTCCTCGCAATGCACATTCTAGAAGGGCCAAGTGAACCATTTTTAACTGAAAGGTTTGGAAACTTACTATACTTAAGAAAAAGAAAATCTAGCATAAGAACTGCAGTCTTTAGAAGTGTGTGCCTCTGGGCTGGAGAACAGGCTGGTCAAGTGCCTGAAGCGACACATCTGGGGAGGGGGTCCCTCTGACTGCCAGGACATGGGCAGGGACCGCTCACCTGGTGCCCATTCATTCTGGGGTCTTTGCCAAGTCCCAGTCTGCTGAGTGGCTGAAGTGGGGGTGCGGGGTGAGGGGGTGTAATGGATGGACGGAGGGATGGGTGGGTGCCTGAATGCCTGGGTGGTTGGATGTAGGCGTGAGCGGGCGGGTGACTAAGTGGGGACACTCAGAGGAAGCGCCTCTTTCTGCCCCCACCTGGTGAAGCCCCCAAAACAGGAGCGTGTTAGAAGCTTCTTCCCGACACTGCCTTCCGGAACTGGACTCCCAGGACACGACGGGGAGGGGGGGGAGGGTCCACGCAGCTCCTCCAAGTCCTGTGGAAGGAGCAAGACCGACGCCCCGGGCCCCACTTCGGGGGTACCCAGCACCCATGGGGAGGCCCAGCGTCCACATCTGAGCATCCCAGGACATGGGAAGGTCCGGCAGCCGGCCCCTCTGAGTCGAGGGGATGAGATCCGCCACCCGGGGGTCTCCTGAAAAGGCTGACCTCGAGTGTGTCCACCGGAAGAGCCCCGCGGGGTGGCGATCTCCAACTTCACGGAAGGGACTCCCCGCGGCTCCCGGCGCGCGCACGCCCCGGGGCTCGGGGCGGGGAGGGTGGAGGCCGTAGGGGAGGAACGACGGGGGTCCCCGTTGGACCAGGACTCCCGTCCGTTCTCCACGAGAACTGCGTGGCCCGCGCCCGCGCGCCCCGGGGAGCCGGGCCAGCCGGCGGAGGGTCCCACGGCGCGCGCAGCCGGCACAGCGGGGTCCCGCGCCCCTCCCCGGGCCCCGCGCGCCCCTTTGAAATCCCCGAGCCGCCGGCGGGGCCGCCCAGGGGGGATGCGCGCGGCTTTACGAGCTCCGGGGGCCACTTTATGGCCGGGCTGTAAACCGCCGAAACCCACCGCTTTGAAGGCGCTCCCCGGCCCGGCCCCCGCCGTAAAACCCGGCACGACGCGCCCCCACGCCCGCCCGCCAGCCCCTCTCCGCGCCGCCCCAACTTCCAGGACCCCCGCGCCCCGGGCGAGCCGGCGGCGTCCGGGTGGCACCGGGGGGCGCGGAGGGGGCGGGGGCCGCGCCGGGGCGCGCGGGGGTCCCCGCCCCCGGGCCCCGCTTTCTCATGCAAAGCAGCGGCGGGGCGGGGCGGGGCGCGCGCCCGGGGCGGGGCCTGGCGCCGCCCCGCGTCCCCCGGTCGCCTCCGAGCGCGTCTTCTCCGCCCGGGACGCGGACTGGCCACAGCTGCGGCCGCGCCGCGCCGAGCTGGGGAGCCGCGCCGGGCCCCGGTGAGTGTGCGGGGCGCGGGGCGCGGGCGGCGCGCGGGGCGCGGGGCGCGGGCGGCATGGGCGGGGGCCCGCGCGGGGCCCGGGAGCCGGGGTCCCCCCGCCGGGCGCCCCGGCTGTGAGGGGCGCGCGCCTCCCCCCGGGGCCATGGCCCGCCTGGGCCCCCGCCTGGCGCTGGCCCTGCGTCTGCTGGGCGCGTGCGCGGCCATCGGCTCCCTGGACCTGGAGCGGCCGGGCGACGGCAAGTGCCAGCCCATCGAGATCCCCATGTGCCAGGACATCGGCTACAACATGACCCGCATGCCCAACCTGATGGCGCACGAGAACCAGCGCGAGGCGGCCATCCAGCTGCACGAGTTCGCGCCGCTGGTGGAGTACGGCTGCCACGGGCACCTCCGCTTCTTCCTGTGCTCGCTCTACGCGCCCATGTGCACCGAGCAGGTCTCCGCCCCCATCCCCGCCTGCCGTGTCATGTGCGAGCAGGCCCGGCTCAAGTGCTCGCCCATCATGGAGCAGTTCAACTTCAAGTGGCCCGACTCTCTGGACTGCCGCAAGCTGCCCAACAAAAACGACCCCAACTACTTGTGCATGGAGGCGCCCAGCAACGGCTCGGACGAGCCCAGCCGCGGCCCCGGCGGCCTCTTCCCGCCGCTCCTCCGGCCGCAGCGGCCCCATGAGCCGCCGCCCCCGGACGCGCGCCCCGGGCGCGCGGGCTGCGCCAACCCGGGCAAGTTCCACCACGTGGAGAAGAGCGGGTCGTGCGCGCCGCTGTGCGCGCGCGGCGTGGACGTGTACTGGAGCCGCCGCGACAAACGCTTCGCCGTGGTCTGGCTGGCCGTCTGGGCCGTCTTGTGCTTCTTCTCCAGCGCCTTCACGGTGCTCACCTTCCTCATCGACCCCGTGCGCTTCCGCTACCCCGAGCGCCCCATCATCTTCCTGTCCATGTGCTGCTGCGTCTACTCCGTGGGCTACATCATCCGGCTCTTCGCGGGCGCCGAGAGCATCGCGTGCGACCGGGACAGCGGGCAGCTCTACGTCATCCAGGAGGGCCTGGAGAGCACGGGCTGCACCCTGGTCTTCCTGCTGCTCTACTACTTCGGCATGGCCAGCTCGCTCTGGTGGGTCATCCTCACACTCACCTGGTTCCTGGCGGCCGGCAAGAAGTGGGGCCACGAGGCCATCGAGGCCCACAGCAGCTACTTCCATCTGGCGGCCTGGGCCATCCCGGCGGTGAAGACCATCCTGGTCCTGGTAATGCGCCGCGTGGCGGGCGACGAGCTCACGGGGCTCTGCTACGTGGGCAGCATGGACGTGAACGCGCTCACCGGCTTCGTGCTGGCCCCGCTGGCCTGCTACCTGGTGCTGGGCACCTCCTTCATCCTCTCAGGCTTCGTGGCCCTCTTCCACATCCGCCGGGTGATGAAGACGGGTGGCGAGAACACGGACAAGCTGGAGAAGCTCATGGTGCGCATCGGGCTCTTCTCGGTGCTGCACACGGTGCCCGCCACCTGCGTCATCGCCTGCTACTTCTATGAGCGCCTCAACATGGAGCACTGGAAGGCACAGGCCCAGCAGCGCCCCTGCCGGGCGGATGGCCACTCCCGGGCCCCCGACTGCCTGCTGGCCGCGTCCATCCCCGCCGTGGAGATCTTCATGGTGAAGGTGTTCATGCTGCTGGCCGTGGGCATCACCAGCGGCATGTGGGTCTGGACCGCCAAGACCCTGCACTCCTGGAGGACCGTGTGCAGCCGTAGCCTCCGCAGGAAGAGCCGCCGGGCACCGCCCAGCGCCCTCGGCTGTGGGATTTACAAAAAGGCCCAGCACGCCCCCAAAACTCACCTGGCCAAGTACGAGCTCCCAGTCCAGTCTCCCAGCCTGGTGTGAGCAGCCTCCAGGGGCCTGGAGGTGGCCAGCGGGGGCTGTGGGGCCCCGCCGAGCTCTAAGTGTGGTGCTTCTCTTGGTTGTTGTTGTTGTTTTTTTAATAAAAGGGAAAAGGGGGGAAAAATGAAAAGTTTTGACCCTGAGATTCAGGATGCTGTGGGACACTGAAAGTTCAAAAAAAAAGAAATGTGCTTGAAGTTTTTGTTTTGTTTCTCAGGGCGGCCCCACCCCCACCCCGTAACTAATTTGCGGTAAAGTCCTTGACTCAGCCCTGGGAAGAAGACTTTTGTTTAGAGTCTCCTGTAAATATAGACTGTGTTTGCTCTGCATTTGCAAACCAGAAGAGCCGAGGTAACTTCTTTGTAAAATAAATAAGGTCCTAGGGTTGGTTGCTGCTTGGGGGCCGTCATGTCGTGTCCCCCCCCCACCCCACCCCCGTGTGTGTTGTGGGGGGGTCCCCAGGAAGCTGGGGTTGGTTCAGGCCTGGCTGGAGTGTGGCAGAAAGATAGAGCCCCGTGGTGGTGTGGTCACTAACCCGGGCCTCCCGCCCCCAGGCCTTTCTCTGGCCGGCCCAGCATGGTGCTCGGAGGCTGAGCCCCTGTTTGCCTCTTTCCTGGCAAATGAAAGGAAGTGAGCGCTCCACTACAAAAGACCACAAAAGGAAGGTCCTCACAAAGAGCAAGAGGCCGCGAGGCTCCCAGGGTTACGTCTGTGGCTGGTTCCCGGAAACCAAGCCCTGACCAGCGGCTGGGAGTGCTCTGGAAAGGCCCCCGGCCCCCGTGGGAAGCCCAGTCTGTGGGCAGGCTCCCGCCCCAGGCAGCGGCCAGGGGGGTGCAGGTGCGATAGGGGTTTCCTGTGGGCTGCTGGCCTCGCTCTAAGGGGGGCCCCTCTCTGCGCCTGTGCGCCCTCGGGTGGCTGGCACCGCAGGGGAGGCAGCTCTGGGAGGGCTGAGGCTAATGTTGGGGATGGCCTGATACAGAGTGCCCCAGAAGAGAATCAAATCCCAGTGCCACTGGGCTGACCTGCCAGGGTCACACGGTGCCAGCCAGACTGGGCTGGCCCCTGGCTCCCGGGCAGACGGAAGCTGGCACCAGCTGGAGTGTGGCTGGCCGGCCCAGCAAGGACAAGTTTCTCAGCTTCACTCCTGCTTGATCTCCGTGCTCCCCACGCCCACTCCCTCTGCTCAAGGACGCCAGAGCCAGGACTGAGGTTCCAGCTGAGGAGCCCTGGGTGTCGCCCGTCCTGGAGGTGGGCTGGGTGAACCCTGTGGGTGCCCTGCACCAGGCCAGCAGGAGCTCGGGCCCATCAACTGTGTCTAAGCACTTGGCCTGCCGGACCTCAGGACCGTCTCGTGAAGACGGTGTCTGGGGATGAAGCCTGCGCTCAGACCCCTCACAGCTATACGGGACTTGGGGTTCTTCGTGGGTGAGAGGGTTATAGCACACAGGGGGCCACAGCCACTGGGGCCAGCTGAGACACCCCAGCTAGATGGCCAAGGTCATTGAGGCAAAATCCAGAGTGCTTGGGTGCTTGGGACAAGGAGCTTTCTAGAAAAGCAGGAAGGGCCACGAGTGCCCTGTGCCCCATGCCCGGTGCCTTGGCCAGCAGGTAGCTGCGCCTGGAACAGCTCCAGGCTCCTGGAACTAGAGAGCACGCAAGGGTCAGAGCCAGCTGTGCCCCAAGTAGGTGCCCCCAAAGGCTGAGGAGCCACCAGGTCTGCCCACTCAGCAGTGGGTGCCCAGGGGTGAATGTCCAGAGATGAGTGTCCAGGGGTAAGAGCCCGGGGGTGAGTGTCCAGGACAGTGAGTGCCCAGGGTGAGCGACCAGGGGGTGAGTGACCAGGGTGAATGCCTGCTCTGGCCCCGAGAACAGCTGCGGTGGTGGACAGGGCCAGGCTCTGACTGTGCTCAGGAGGGCCAGTGTATACCATCCCAGACCCCCTGGTGCCCTGCCCCACCTCCAGGCAGGCATGGGCAAGGGTCCCTGCATGCAGCTCAGGGCTCAGGGGCCGAGTCCTGCTCTGGGCCCACAGGGAGTGCTCACATCTGAGTGCCACAGTGGGGACAGCAAGCTGATCCAGTGACCCTCGGCTCTTCTCCCAGGGAGCCCCGGGGATCCCCAGGCCTGAGAGCCACGAAGACCTGCTGGGGTGGGCGGGTGAGCAGTGGGGGGGGGGACAAGGTACACCTCCCCCCTCCCTTTGCTCAGCTGCTCATCACGGTCTCCGGCCCCTAGGATGGCAGAGATGGGCTTGGAGGCCAGGGCGGTGGCGGGGAGGTGGGTGTGAGCAGCAGAGCTGAGGCTGCGTCACTCGTGGGGTGCACGTGCTGAGGGGGCTCCCTCAAGGAGGGGCTGAGGTCCTCCAGAACCATGTGAGACTCCCCCAGGACCATGTGAGACCCCAGGACTTTGTGAGATCCCCCCAGAACCATGTGGGACCCCCGGGACCGTGTGAGACTCTTCTGGGATGGTATGGGACGCTCAGACCTTATCACATGCCAGCACTGTGGTGGCCTGTGTGAGTCTCTTTGAACCCCAATTCCCCTCTAGACCTTTGTGATGGAGCAGAACCACGGCCGTTAGCGGTGGGATCTGTCCAGCCACCTCCACGGGGTGCATTGTGGGGGACACCCCATCCTGGGGCGCATGCGGGGGACACCCCATCCTGGGGTGCTTGTAGGGGACACCCCATCCTGGGGCACATGCAGGGGACACCCCATCCGGGACACATGCTGGGGACACCCTATCCTGGGGGCATGCAGGGGACACCCCATCCTGGGGCACATGCAGGGGACATCCCATCCGGGGAGCATGCAGGGGACACCCCAGCCTGGGGAGCACGCAGGACCCCTGAGCCGGGCCCTCTGCGGGTGTCCCAGCCCACAAGCCGCCCTTGTGCATGCAGTGCAGAGGGGTTCCCACTCCTGCGATGCCAAGGGCCAAGTCACGGTGGAAGCCTTCAGAGCAGCCAGAAAGCCCAGTGTGTCTTCACGCACTGACTCAGCTTCGGGCAGGCACTGAGGGAGGAGCCTGGCCCAGCATGGCCTCACTGCTCTGCACACCTTACGGCTTTCCTTGGCACGAGGCGGGGGCAGGCTTGGTGGCACAGGGGGACCGACTGGTAGTCCCAGGCTCCCTGACATCTGCCGACTCAGTGCTGGCTGGAGACCCCAAAAGGCCTCGGCGCTGGCCAGAAGGGTGTCCTCTCTGAGCAGTGGGAGAGCGGGAGTGAGCATGGCTGACAGGTCCATCCTCCCGTGTAGTGGCTCTGGGCCAGTGCTGTGCTGAGCCAGTTTGTCTGCATGAGGCCTCACTCCCACGGCTCACCTCAACCCCAGGGTTCCTGGGTCATGGGACTCTGGCCAGCACAGGAAGGGAGAGATCTGTGTCTCCCAGGAGGCCCTGAGTCACTGGCCCACCCAGGCAAGGCAGATGCAGAGGGGGCTGGCCACGGACCTAGGCCTGGGTCTCCTCCCGCACCCGTGAGCGTGCAGCCTCAGAGCTGCGACCCAGGAGGGAGGCACGGTGTGGTGGGCCCCGCTGATGTACCCACTGTCCCCCAAACGCCTGATCCTGCAGCTGGGTCATCTTCCCGCAGGTGAGCTCTCGGAATCACCAAGAAGCCCTCCCACTCCAATGCGGGAGACGGGGGTTGAGGGGGCGTAGGAGAGACCCAGCGTGCGGCACCCTGCCACGAGGCTATGCCCGCGGAGTGCTGGATGGAGCTCAGGGTGGAGCACAGCTGCCGCCACTCCTGTGACTCAGCCCCGATTGCGAGGCCGTTGGCTGCCTGGGCGCTGCCATCAGCGAGGGCTGAGGACGGGGTGTCATTGAGGACGGGGTGTCATGGGGCGGGTCCCCACTCTCTGTGGGGGCAGAGTCCCTTCAGAGCACCTGGACCTGCTGGACCGCATCAGACCATCATCCCGTCCTCCCCGGGACAGTCCAGCTCCTGCACCCGGCTCAGACATGGTCTGGGTTCAAACCGAGTCTCGGGGCCACTGAACCCGCTTCTTGGTGAGAACCCTGGCAGCCCTTCTTCCCCAGCCCCTTGGGAGCCCATTTGGGGCTGGTGCCTACCGTGCTGGTGATTACGTGGCATTGGACGAGGCTCTCCTGAGGCCGCGGGGGGCCAGGTCAGCGCCCAGGGGAGTTAGCCAAGGAGAGGAGGGAAGACTGATGGATACTGTTCGTGTCTGTGAGATGTGACGGAAGCGGAGGAGCTGAGCAGAGAGTTGGTGATGCTGGGGCAGAATTGGGAAGAGCCGGGCACAGCAGTGAGAAACCAGGGTCTTTCCAGCCAGGCCTATGGGAAGAAAACGGATCTGACCTCTGCTGTGCCTCCAAAACCAAAGCCAGGGCCTAGAGGGATCCCTGCCATGTGCCAGCCCCCCTAAATAAGCCGCTGCTCTTGTCCCAGGGAGCGTAAGCATTTGGGTCTGATCTTGGAAAGTCACGCTGCATACCTGTAAATATGCCAATTATGCCCAAATTAGTTCCTAAATATAGTACAGTTCCCATGGCAAAAACATGGCCTTTTCCTCTTGCTCTATAAAGTGATGCTAAATCCACCAAGTGGGAGCAAACCCCCAGTGGGCAGGTGTGCTGTTCCCGTGGGGATCATCGGGCAGGAAAGCCGCCATGGCTCCAGCCGTGATTGAAGGAGCCCCTGAGTATACGGGGCTTTATTTCAAACAAGGAAGAGCTGGTGCTATCAAGGCTTGTTTTAGACTCTGGGAAATTCACCTAAGACAGCCCCCTTCACAGTCTTCATTCTGCGGGAGTCTTCATTCACCCAGACCATGGGTGCTTGGGACCACGTCAGAGCTCTGGGGTCAGGGGCCTCTGCCGTGATGCTCTAGGACAAACCAAGCTCTGGTCAGCACTTGAGCCATCTCCCTGGGCCCCACGTTAGATTTTTGGAAAGATTTAAGGTAAAGGTAAAGGCCCTCCCGTTGATCGTCGATTTGCTCGAGCGGGCCCAGTAACGTCTCCATTGGAGACTTTGTTGTTAC